TGTCAAAGGTCAAAGGGTAAGCAGGCTCAGCTGGAATGTATACAAGGTGTTTAAAAGTCGCATGCTGGGTGGAGAGGGTGGAGAGGAAGAAATCCGGAGCAGGGTAAGGCGAGGGAAGAATGAGCTGCAAGCACTGGCCCCAGCCTGGATAACCAAGGTGCACTGCTCAGTGGACTCAGCAAGGTCAGCCACAGTTTAGGTTTGATCTAGTGTGGCTCAGGGGTCAGGGCTCCCAGGCAGAGGTGCAATTCAGGAGAACAGGATCAGTGTCCTCTTAGCAATTTCAGATCTATCTCTGCATGGCAAGACTTTTAATAGTGAGATCAAGTCCCAGAAAAGGCAGGAGGTAGAAAGCAAGGCTACCAGAAACTACAAGAGGGCAATAAATTATAAAAGCAAAGCCCAGACTCACAACACAGCCAACAAACATTTACTGGGGGTTTGCCGTAAGCCTGAAGCTTGGAGGGCTCTGGAGACATGAGAAACAAAACAGACGTGGTCCTGAATCACAAATGGTGGCAAGAGCTATGAAAAAGAACAAGAGCTCTGAGAGACCTGACTGAGGGTGGATGGGGGGTGGAGGCCATAAAGGAGAGCCTCTCTGAAGAAGCGACAATTTAATCTGAACCCTGGAGGCAAATGGATGAAGATTAAGGGGGAAGCAGGGTAAGAACAACCCAAGCCTGGAGAGTGGCCATACAAAAACCTTGAGGCTGCGGGGGCACCTGGGTGGCTTAGTCGGTTAAGCGTCCGACTTTTACTTAGGTCATGATCTCGCGGTTCATGGGTTCGGGCCCCACGTCGGGCTCTGTGCTGACTGCCAGCTCAGAGCCTGGAGCCTGTTTCAGTCTGTGACTCCCTCTCTCTCTGACCCTCCCCTGCTCACGCTGTCTCTCTCTCTCTCTCTCCTAGAAATAAATAAAACATTAAGAAAATAATAAAAAATAAAATGTTAAAAAAATAAATTTGAGGCTGCGAAAAGTCTTGGGTAATTCAAGGAACTGAAAGAAAGACGGAGTCATTAGGACATCAGAAAGGGGGGTGGGCCATAAAAGACATAAGGGAACGCTGGAGAGGCAGGCAGAGGCCAATCTGACAGAACCTCACAGGATGAGAAATAAAATCCCAAACGGGCCTCAGTACAGTGCGAAGCCGCGAGGAGTTTTGAACAGAGAAGTGGTCCAATCCCAATGGCGTTCTAAGTACTCCAATTACCAGTGCTCTGCTCAGACTACAGAATGGGAGCCAGCTTGGCAGCAAAGGGGCAAGAGCCAGTATTTGTAGCCGAGGTCTGGGATCAGAGAGTTTACTACAGGGCCCTCCGAGTGCTCCAGGGTCGCAGATAGGGAGGAGGATGGCATCACCAAAACATACAGAAAAATCGGATGGAAGAGCTAGCTTAGGAGGCAACGTTAAACATAACTTTACACATAGGAAATACGAAGTAGTAGTGAAGAATTCTAGCAGGTAAATAATGATGTTGTTTTGGAGTAAGGGAAGAGATGTCAGACACGGATATGCGGCTTAGTAGATACGAAGGTGAGAGATAGATAGTTTAAGTTCCAAAAGGAAATAACATTTTCTAGGAGCCGAAAGAGAAAAATAAAACAACCCCAACAAAAGGAGCCTAAGTCTGATCCTTGGTGTTTATCTCTAGGATAATAGGAGGAAGTTTTTGGGGGATGGTGAAACCACTCTATATCCTGATTGTGGGAGGAGTTACATGAATGTATACATGCGCTAATATTCATAGAACTGTACACATACTAAAAGTTAACATAACTATGTTTTTCTGTTTGTTTTTGTGAGAGAGAAAGCGAGTGAGTGAGTGGGGATGGGAGAGAGGGTCACAGGGAAAGAGAGAGACAATCCCAGGCAGGCTCCATGCTCAGTACTGAGCCCGACATGGGGCTCAATCCCACAACCACGAGATCGTGACCTGACCCCATATCAAGAGTCAGATGCTCAACCGACTGAGCCCCCCAGGTGCCCAGCTATATGTTACGTCTTAAATAACATTTTTTAAAGGGGTGGGGATAGTCAAAAGGACTGCTGCAGGGAGACAGAAGAGGATAAATCCCAAAAAGAGGCTCTGGGAATTTTAACCATTAGGTAATTGGCAACCTTGGAAAAGGCCTCAGTGAGTGGTAAGGTTGGGAGCCAGGCTGCAAAGGTTCGAACAATAACCTGAGCAGTGAAGAGAAGCAGTCAGTACAGCCTCCTGTTGTAGAACTCTGGGGATGAAAGGAAGAACAGAATGGCACACAGCTCAAAGAGATAAGGGGAACTGGGAGATTCGGTAAACTGGCAGAGCCAACCTTCTACACCATGAGTTGCTCCATTTCAGTATTCTAGAACATGCATTTTGCACATGAATTATTCACTTTATTATTGTCCCGTTAAACCAAAACTGCTAAAACAAACCCGAAATCATTGTACTTTTAATTCTGCTCCTTAGCTGACATTTACTGTGCTCCTACTACGTGCCAAGTAACCTGATACAGAAGTAAGGCCTGGTCCTTGGAAGAGCGCACAGGGTTTATCACAATCACAAGGTACTGAAGTGGAGATCTGCACAAAGGGCTCTGAAAGCCTTGACGTTCTGAATTAAATGCGCTTTTATTTATCTTTATGAAAACCAAACGGAAGAAATGAAACAAAGTGTGGATGTAATTTTGGAAAAATGTTCTTAATTTCTAAAAAGAATGAGTTTAACTTACCATTAAATTATTTTTTTAATTATTTGCTTTTTATTTATTTGTTTTGAGAGAGTGAAGCTTGAGGGGTGAGGGGCAGAGAGAGAGGGTGACAGAGAGAATCCCAAGCAGCGCAGAGCCCTATGCGGGGCTCAAACTTCGCAACCATGAATTGTGAGATCATGACCTGACCTGAAACCAAGAGTCCGGAGGCTCAACCAACTGACTGAGTCACCCAGGCGGCCTAACATTAAATTCTTTTTTTTTTTTTTTTTAACATTTATTTAATTTTGAGAGTGAGAGAGACAGAGTGCGAGCAGGGGAGGGGCAGAGAGAGAGAGGGAGACCCAGAATCTTAAGCAGGCTCCGGGCTCCAAGTACAGAGCCTGATGCGGGACTCAAACTCAGGAACCATGAGGTCATGACCTGAGCAGAAGTCGGATGCTTAACCAACTGAGCCACTCAGGCGCTCCTAAATTCTTAAGCCAGGTATGGGCAACCTAATCATCAGTGGCCTTTGCCATTTCTTTTCCTGTCTACCTTCTGCCTTTTTTTCCCATGGATAATTCAGGAGGCAGAATGGAAATAAGCACGGGCTTCGAAACCAGACAGACTTGAGACTAAAAGTATCCCTTAAAGTTCCTGGCTGTGTGGTTCTTCGAGGATCTTTTTCTTATTCAGAAAACAGTAACGACACATTCCCCACAGGCTTGAGGAAAGGATTAGGAAAAAATATAAAGAGGCTGGCATATGAGAAGCATGCAGTAGATGTTAGTTAATACTGTTACTATCGTTTGAACAAGTGGTATTGTTCTGACTTAAAACATTTTTAAGTGCATCCATCTGAAAGAGGAAAAAATCATTTTTTCAAGGGCATGATGTTCACACGCTGCCTTAGAAACGCAGCTTGGTCATTTCCTCTTCTTTTATTCTGCTCGAATAAATGACATTGGGGACAAACACTTAAAAACGGCCAAGAACCAAGAGAATATAAAGGCATTGTTATTATCATTGCCGTGTCCCAAGAGGGACAAACCAGTCTGATTTGTGCTCTGGATCCCTTAGCACCTACTACATTCATGCCCCTGCCACTACCTACCTACAGCGAAACTGCATGCCTTGGAGATGCAAGACGACGTGCTAAAAGTTCTCCTTTGTAAGAGGCATTTACATAACACTACCAAAAGAATAAGTACAGTTTCAAAGCCAAGATCACTGATGCTTCTCCAAATCAACAGGAAGCTATCCTCCATCGAAATTCCCCACAAGAGTCAAGGAAATCGCCTCTACTGTTAAACTTTCACAAAATGCTAAGACGCAAGATTTTTATACACCTTATTTCCGTACGCTTAACTATCAGGGGGAGGAGAGGTAACCCATGACGTTTTATTCACTATGGAGAAAAATCTCTGGCCAGTTGTGTTGCATAATTCTGCTTCTATCGTAATACAAATGACCAACTTGAAATTCATCTTATTCCTCGCACAATGTCTAGCATAGGTGCTGAAAAGTAATAAAACGGCCAAAAGACACATGAGATGGCAAGGAAACTTGAAAGACCGAGACTGGTACCCTGTGCCTAAAAAAGTGAGGATGGGCTCGTCTTTAGGAAGCTACGCGGTTGGGTGTCTTCAGCCGCTTTAGGCTGTTCATTCAACCCACCGGCACTGCCCGCTAGTTCGAACCGAAGGGGCGCCAGCCCAGGGGAAGCCCTAAACACTCCCCGTGCTGTTTCGTCCCATTCCGTCTGAATCGCCTCCCGAAGGTGGACACACACCGCGGGGCTCTGGGGTGAGGGGCGGGGTGAGGGGTCTGGGCTGAGGAGCGGGCCCCCCCCCTCCCGGCCGGGATTAAGCAGGGGGACCCGTTCCCGCCGTGACGCGGGTCCCGCACAGGCCTGACGCCTCCCTCTGCCTCCCGCCAGACCGGGGGCCCGACGCGCCTCGGCGGGCCCCGGCTCTCCGCGGCGACGGGGAGTCTCTCCCCGCCCGGAGGCCCCCCAGCGACGGGAAGCGAACCCGCCTCGACCAGCCCACCCGGAAGCCCTCCCCCAGCTCACACCTGCTGGCGCGTGACGCCCAGAGCCGCGCGCGCCCGCCAGCCCCGGCCCTGCCATTCGGGGCGCCTCTTCCCTGCGCGCGGGACGTCGCCCGCGTCCCTCCCCGCCCCGGGGTCAAACCCACCGCACGCCCGCCCCCACGAAGCGCGCGCTCAACGCCGCCGCCCCCGCCGGGGCCCGCGCGCGCTCCCGCCCCCCCTCCGGCCCTGTCCCCGCCGCGCGCGCTCACTCGCGAGGACACGCACACTCTGCGACTCAGCTTGACAGGCCGGCCCGCGCCGCGCGCTCCCGCGGGCGTCCTCGCCCACCCGGCCCTCCAGCTCTGACTGGGCGGTGCGCGGGGGAGGGGAAGGGCGGCAGTGGCCGTCGGTCCTCACTCACCGCCGAGCCGCGCCGGCTCCGAGTGCGCGGCGTTCCGCTGTGAGGCGATGTGCTGCGATGCGCGCGGTCCCCGCTTCTCCGCAGGCTATGGAGGCGACGTAGTAGGGGGACTGAGGGGGGCGGGGGGTCACTCCCTCCCGCTTCACCTCCCAGAAACACGGGGACCCCAGAAACTAAAAACAAAATAAACAAACTTTCCCCTCCGCCTCCCTCCCCCAAAACCACAACACAAACACTCGGGGGCCCGCCCAGAGTCCCACTCCATTGGCCGCAGAGAGGATGCTTCCGGCTCTCACTGGCTGGCTTTTATGCCCATCAAGCTGCTGTTCCGCCCCTCCAATGCCTCGCCGCGGCCGTCGCCCCTCATTGGTCAAGTGCTTCCCGTTTGACGAGCTAGGATTGGCTGAACTGCCTGCGCCAATCATTCGGGGACACACCCCCTCAGCATCCCAGAGGCCGCTTCCTTGGTCGCGGACCCGGAGAGGCGAAGGGGAAACTAGAGCATGATGGCGGCCGAGCTCGCTTGGCGCAACCATCGTCTTTTTTCTTTTTTTAGCTCATTGTTGCCTCGTCCTCGCGCTGCTTCCCCTGAGCTCCTCTCTCCATCCAGTATTGCCTAATAACGGAATCTATACCCGCCGGCTCCTTGATTTATCCCCTTCGAAGTGCGGAGTGTGGGCTGGTTGTGCGTCATTGGACTGTCAGAATGTCACTCCTTAGTCAAATCTTCAAGCTATTGGTGGAACAGCCAGAAAGCCCGTCCAACAACAAGGACTAGTGCTATTGGTTTGACTCCACAGAGTTCTTTCCCGGTACCTTATTGGGCAAATCGGCGCGTCAGTCAGATTGGGATTCCCTGTGCTACAGTTAATTGTTGGCTGGGAGTTTGGATGACTCTGGTCATTTTGTCCCATAGTTGACGATAATAATGACTGTCGTTAATTTTGTGCGTACTTTGTGCCAACTACTGTTCTGATTTCTTTGCATGGAGTATCTGGTTAAACGTGTGAGTACTACATTGTCTAAATTCTACAGTAGAAAACTAAGGCTCCAAAAAGGTTAGGACACTTGCCCAAGGTCACCCAGAGAGAGTAATTAGTGAACTGGCGATTAGTCCTAGGACCGTCTGACCCCAGAGCCTTCACTCTTTTTACTGTAGTGTCTCTCCCTTTGCCCAGAATCTTACCTACTAGCCAACACATCTTAAAAATATTTCATTCCGAATCCAAGTTCCCCCCATCCGTTTCTGGAAGTGACATTGTGGGAGACTAATGCTATGGAGAGGTTGTCATTGCCACCACCGCATTATCCTCTGGCACCCATTCTTCCTCACCCTAAATGAAACCATCTTGGTGTTTCCTGACCAGAAGCTCCTCCAGCTCTATGTTTATTTTTTCAGCTCTATAAATGAATATTTCCAGATCTTTGTGTGCCAAGCCACCTCCCTCAACGCTCACTCATCCACCTCCAGCTCACTCTTTACAGAGAGTCCTCAAGAGCTAGAAAGAGATAAAGAATAAATTGCTTTAGGAATAATTTATTACATGCAAAAGGAACAGCCCTTCAGCCCCTGGGAAGCTTCCAGAGTGGCCCCTGATGCGGTGTAAGACGTGTGCTCCTGGCTGGTGGCCACTAGATTCTTTTTCTGTGGCAGCTTTCGGCGAAGTGAATCCAACATTCCAGCCAGGGGAGGGCAGGATGCTTAGGACCCAATGCCAAAGAGCCAGCCCCAGCCTCTGGGACTGAAATGATCTCCAGAAGCACAGCTCTGGACTCCCGCCCACATTCCGTCTCGGGTAATTAACATTTTACCATCCCAAATCCCCATCCCCTGTAGCTTCAGTAGGATCACCGCCCTTGTTTCGCTCCCTGATCCAAGCTGTTGTGTAACCTCATTGGCACTGCTTTAGTAATAAAACAACCACTGTAACACTGTAATGCTCAACACTTAACAGACTTTCAGCAGAGGAAGACAAGGCGTTTCACAAACATCAATTAAGATTAAATGGCAGGTATTCCTAGGGCAACTGCCGGCAGAAGGACAGAAGAAAGATCATGAGTCAAATTCTAATAAAAGCCCTAAGAACCTGATCCTTATAACTACATGCACATACCCCATACTAGCCTTCCAGTATGGGGGTTCTGAACCAGAAAACGCAATGAATGAAAAATGTTCAAGACTCCAAAACCTTCCTTATCTTCCTATTTGGTTCTTTGTAACTCTTTTAACCCTTAAACCAGTGCTTGCTTTTATAGTTAATTGTTGGACATATCTGTCTCCCCAACTCAGTAATAAGTTCCTTGAAAACAAATGGTTGCTTTTTCATCTTTTTTTTTTTTTTTAAGTTTATGTACTTATCTTGAGAGAAAGACAGAGAGAGCGTGAGTGGTGGAGAGGCAGAGAGAGAGAGAATCTCAAGCATGCTCTGTGCTGTCAGCATGAAGCCTGATAAGGGGCTCAAACACACAAACAATGAGATCACGACCTGAGCCAAAACCAAGCGTTGGACACTTAACCAACTGAGCCACCCGGCGCCCTGTTTTTTATTTTTGTATTCCTTAAGTGGTTCCGATTATTAAAAAGGCCCCCAGACAAGTAATTATTCAGTAAGTGTTTATCGTGTCTGGGCACTTTCCTAAGGTTCAAGGACTACACAGATGAATAAAACACCTCTGCCGTCAGGGACCTCAAATCTAGTGGGGGTGGCCAAAACATAAACAGGTCATCCCAGTGCGGGGGGCTTGGAAGGACTCACGATGGGATGGACAGGGATTGCCTCTTGGTAAAAATGACATCTACAAGGAGAACTAAAAAGATGAACTGTGGTTAGCTAGCCAAGGGGCCGATGGTGTGTGGTGATCTGCAGCGTTTGCTGTCTGGGGGCAGGGAGCAGGAGAGGAATACCCAGGAATGGTCAAGGCCTCTTCTCCCTATAACCTTTGTATTTGAGGGCCTTCAGCTATCTATCCGCTCCACCTCCTTGTACCTTCTCCTCCCCAGGAGAGCGCAGGGAGTTGGAAATCCGGTCACGTGTGCCCTCTTGAGAAAAGGGAAAAAAAATTCCAAATAAGATTGCTGTTTTTCTTTTTTTTTTAAATTTTTTTAATGTTTTATTTATTTCTAGGAGAGAGAGAGAGAGACAGCGTGAGCAGGGGAGGGTCAGAGAGAGAGGGAGTCACAGACCGAAACAGGCTCCAGGCTCTGAGCTGGCAGTCAGCACAGACGCGGGGCTCGAACCCACGAACCGCGAGATCATGACCCAAGCGAAAGTCGGACGCTCAACCGACTAAGCCACTCAGGCGCCCCAAGATTGCTGTTTTTCTGATCATAAGGTAACACTGACTAAAAGACTTCAGACAGTACAGAAAGTTTTAAAGTAGGAAAGAAAAGCTCTCTCAAATCCCTATGAGAGTCAACTCCTCTTAAGAAGAGCATCTTCCCAGGGTGCCTGGGTGGCTCAGTCAGTTAAGCGCCTGACTTCGGCTCAGATCATGATCTCGTGGTTCCTGGGTTCAAGCCCTGCATCGGGCTCAGAGCCTGGAGCCTACTTCAGATTCTGTGTCTCCCTCTCTCTCTGCCCCTCCCCTGTTCATGCTGCCTTTCTTTCTCAGAAATAAATAAGACATTTAAAAATGTTTTAAAGAAGAAGAGCATCTTCCCAGATTCTTCATGAATAGACCCACACATGGATTTCTTCTTCCAGCAAATAGTGGTGTGTGGTTTACCGTGTGCACTCTGAGATCTCATTGCTCAGAACTGCAACTTTGAGTGGAACCTGCCCTCACTTTCTATGCTTATGGGAAGGAGGCCAATAAATCAACCAAATATTTATTGCGGAGAATGATGGTTTCAAATTCCTGTTGCAGCAAATGACAGATTACCACCTGTTACGGGACTCTGGGGCTTGCTCAGGCTGGTGTAAAGCCAATGAGCTGGGGTGGGGGTGGGGGTGGCAGGGTCTGCTCTTCCACTGCCCTAGGGCTTATGGGTATCCTCTGGTGGTTGTGGAATCAATCCGTGCCCTGAAAAGGCAGCCCAGGTCAGAGAACAACATGCCGGCGTGCTCTCCTATGCTGTCTCTCTCATTTCTTCTCTGCATGCTACTTGGGGAAAATATTTTTTGTTTGTTTGTTCCAACTCACCCAGCTTTGAGAGTAAGAAAACTTGGTAAGCCCTGCACAATTGTATTTAGGCCAAGTGCAGCATGTTCTTGGAGTGCTATACTATTCTTAGAGCTCTATATGTGGTATTCCATACAGCTGGCTTTTTGCTGGAAGGGAAGGCAGATTTAATGAGTGATAGCTGACTTGGATGGCTACCAAAAGTGCTCTAAGCCATTCCAAGCAACAGGCCTTCCTTTTTTCCCTTGAGAGATTGCTCTGTGATCCCTGAACACATTGCACTGGCCTGGACAAACTCCAATGCAACGGGAATTTCTGTGAACGATTCTGCAATGACCCACAAGCTTGGGGTGACATAGCCAGCTGGATCCACTCCAGCTCTGACTTCTGTGGCACAGGAGAGCTCCATCCACCCTCCTCACTGGCCTCTCATTGCTATGAGACATTCGGAAGTGTCTGTAAAACATCCTCCAGCTCTCTAAACGTATAACCATGGGAAGATCCCTGTAAAAGAACCTACTGACAGCTGATAATGCTCTCTGGGGTGGCGGGTGTGGCCAGAGCCAAGGCCAAGAGCAGTGGGGGAGGGGAACTTTCTAGAGGGCGCTGATTACAGAGGACATGCTCGTAAGCCTTTATTACATGTCTGGTAGCATTTATTGTGGAACAAAGCCCTGGTGACGGACGCTGTGCCACTTCCAAATCACCTCTCATTTCTTATGACCGCACTTCCTGAAAAGCTCGTAGTGAAGCAGCAGACACTGGACTC